GAGAGTACCTTTTATCGTGTTTTATGATAGGTCTTAATGATTAAGAACCATATGTTAATTGATCCTTTAAGTAAGTCTTAGTAGAATTTGTATGTCTAAGAAGAGGAATCGGGAATTGTGGAAATGGTTAAATCAAGAAGTCAATCATACTTCGTTCCAATATCAAGTCTTAGACTTATACTCCAAGATTGTGAATTGAGTGACCAGTCTTAAGAAGGTCTATAACATTCATCAAATGTGGAATTTGGAAAAGGGTTTTTCTTATTCTTGCACATTTGAAGTTAGTAAGTTGTGATGTCTTGGATAAGACAAAGACCAACTAGGACCAATCATATGAAGTGTTTTGTCTTGATGAAAGCTACACTAACTCTTGAATATTTCTTTGTCAAGAAATGGTTCTTAACAAGAGAATCTTATATGTCAAGGAGTTAGTGGGAGTTCTAATGGTCTTGAAAGGTTTCAAGAACAAATCAAGAATAGACCTTATCATTCATCACTAGCACACGACTTGAAATCTACAACCTATCGTGTCGACACTATTTTTGTTTCTGTGCCATTCCAATTGAGTTAATTATGCATGTGAGTTCTACGAGTTCTCGATGGATTGTATAGGAGCAAGGCACATTGTTCAATGGAAAGTACATTGAAATGAAGGGGTGGGCTGCTCAATAACTTGGAAGTAATGGTGGGACACTTGATGGCAAGAAATTAAGAAGAACAAGTTCTATCCATAAGAGTTTGGATTTGCCACTGACATTATCTTGTGATTATGGTTATGATGAATTCACATGGACGGAAATGTATACACCACAAAATCTAAGTGTCATAAGGTTTCTTCTCGTTCGTGAGAATGATTGTGAGGAAACGCTTTCATTAAGAGAGATTTTGAAGATAGCATTATGTGATTTGGGTTTCTCAAATTCAACTATGATTACGACATACCTCTTCATAGTTCGAATTGTGGGAAATGGCAAATGGGTCTGAACATTTTAGACTTGTTGATATGAGTCCTAGAATCGTTTAGACATATACATATGAGCTGTCCAAGGAAAAGTGTATGAGTTTGAGAAGCTTAGATAAAGTCTTATCAAAGCATCTAGTATTAGAAATATAAGCTTAAGAAATTGATTTCTAGAAGTTTAGTTGATTTCTGAATACATGTCGAAGCTAGTGGGAGCATAAGTGTTATGCTGGTGAAGAAATAATCATCATGTAAGTGGGAGCATGATTATTTTGGTAAGTATTGCAAGTTAGCAATATTAATTATAGAAAACAAGAGTTATACTTTGCAAAGTTGTAAGAGTTGGAAAGTTGTTTTGCTATACTTAAAGGAGGGAATATTGTACTTCGTTCAAAATCTAAAGCTTAGATTGAGAAATTTTAATAAATTTAGTAAAAGTATACATAGTGAGTTCTTAAATTTCGATTATGATTATGGCATCCCTCTTCATAATTTGAATTGTAAGAACGTGACACACGATATATTATGGCAGAAGATTGATAGAGTATCGTATCTTTATGTAAGACATTATGCATCATGTCCCATATGCTTCAGGTATAGGAACAACTGCATATGCTATAACATTTTACCATTCTAAAATTTTCCAAATGCCAGGGGCATTAAGAGGGAAAAGGGACTAGAACTGGTTTTGACTGAAATAATTAAACAACTATCAAAGGACGATCCAAAGTTCGCCGAGGATTTGTCACTTGTGAGTAGATGGAAATATGGTATTGAATGGACCTTATCGACATTATTATGAATAGATAAGATTCTATTAAGAATGACTTGTCATATGGTAAATATGGAAATGTTTCCATAATTGGCAGTTGGAAATTAAGAATTTACGTCTAGATTAGAAAATTTTATGCAAAAGGATGTTCAAAGGAATGTACTTTGAGTGAGAGACATCACATCTATAGAATTGTTCTGTAACAATTTTGATAGAGTACCTTGTGATTTCGTTGGCCGAGTCTTTGTGATTTTTTTGCCGTGACTTCACAAGAGAATCGTTGCATAGAATATTAGAATTTGACATATTCTAAAAGGTGGCAAGAATTTGGTATTCTTACACTAATTATAAAGATTGGGGATTGTGAAATGAGTTTCATTTGAAAATTTTTAATTGATCTATTTCACAAAGTATGGACCATAGGAAACCAAAGTATGCATGCTTGGAGCATAAGACAATTGTGGTTATGATTCGAGTTATAAAGTTGATTATCTGAAACGTTAAACAATGGATAATGAGTAATCGATATGATGATTAAATAAAGGTGTTTTATTTATACTCACAAGTTTGCGGTCATATAAGATTAAGTATCATCATTGTGTTTCTCTTTGCGTGTTTTGACTTCCAGAATAATTGAGTTTATTAAAAATAATTAAATTATTTAAACGATCCACAGTCGGTCATACGTTGGAAGTAGGTATGAAAGAAGACTGTCATGAATTGGTTTGTAGATTGTCTAAAGTGTATTGGACATAGCAAAGGTTTGCTGCAATGTTCATGAGTGCTCATGAATATGATTTTGAGCATTGGAATAAACCCACGCTCACCTAGATTATTTCATGAATTTTGCCACGAGCGATTGATGAGATGATAATATCTTGTATTCTTGAAACCTAGATGTGTGAGTTGTATCTTGTGAATCGGTTGCACATTGATAATATGTAAACTGTAACGACCCAAATTTTTCATGTTCAAAAATTTCATTTTAAAATATTACTTTAGAGAACATTAATAAATAAAAACATTGTTTGATTACACCATAACACATCGCAATCCACGTTTTAAAAGTCAAACCATACATCCCATCAAATATCATAGTACAATCCCAGTAAATCTCGTAAATGCGGAAACCGAAGAGTGTGTGTATGACGTGCCGCTACCGTGCCGGCTCCTTCCCCTTCGGTGCAGAGGTACCTGAAAACAAAACTGTAAACGTAAGCACAAAGCTTAGTGAGTTCCCCCAACGTACCACATACCATACAAACTCATAACATAAATACTGCCAGGCTATTCTGGGGTGCCTGACTACCCGGTACGGCCATTCTGGGGTGCCGACCTACCCATACGGCCATTCTGGGGTGCCGTCTTACCCGTGTCAAGCCATTCTGGGGTGCTGACTACCCATGTTAAGCCATTCTGGGGTGCTGACTACCCATCGGTCCTAACAACCGATCCTCGGGGGCTGGTCCCCTCCCACTACCTCTATCGCATAACATAACAGGCCAACATACAAGCATACCATCACATACAGTCAGATGATTCTGGGGTGTCTGACTACCCTGCGGTCCTAACAACCGAACTCTACTACTATCGCATATAACGTATCATGAGAGCATATAACATAACAGGTAATAGCAAACCTAGATGATATCACAAAGACAATCATCTATCATACGTCTCCTACTGGTGGGCCGGCATTGTGGCCTTAGACCCACCACTACTGGAAGGTAAGAGGGTGTTTGTTTTTTCTCTGCAGGTCTGCGTGACCACTTCTGTCTGCGAGGCGCAGACCACGCGCAGACATAATGGTTTGCAATCTGTTTGTTTTTCTGAAGTGTGCAGACATAAAAACGTCTGCGCGAGGTCTTCACCACACAGATATGGGATAGCATCTTCTAAAGTCTGCAAGCCCTTTAACCTAAAAAAAAAAAAAAACGCCGTCTTTTTTTCTTTTGCTTCCACCTCCCGTCCTCGTCCAACCCTCCCAGAAAACACCCTCCATCGTTCGATCGTTCTCCACCTTGCAGCGACCACCACCGTCGCAACCCTCCTCTCCGATCAAAGCCATCAATCGCCGCCTTCCTCTCCGATCCGACGTCCTCCGATTTTCCGAACTTCATAATCGATTGCAGCAGCCGGCGTTAACCATCAATCGATTTTCCGAACTCCACCCTGCTCGATTTTCCAGCGTTAACCATCAATCGATTTTCCGAACTCCGATCCGACGTCCTTCAATCTCACAGGTTCGTTTTTTTTTTCCTGCTGTGAGCTACACGTTTCTGTTTTTATTTTTTCCTGCTGTGAGCTACACGTTTCTGTTTTTATTGATCAAGATTCCACAATAATGTGTTGTAGTAATTGAACAGGTAGAATAAAAAGCCTCAAAAGATTGTTGTCAACTAAATTGTGTAAAATAAAAACATTTGTAATGAAAGTAATTTATCTTTGAATGTGAAATTGGATTTGATTATGTGTTTGTGCTTCAATTAGCAATTGAACCTAGATTGTTGTGATGTGTTTGTGCTTCTATTAGCAATAAAAAGCCTCAACTAGATTGTTGTGATGTGTTTGTGCTTCAATTAGCAATTGAACCTAGATTTGATTATGTGTTTGTGCTTCAATTAGCAATAAAAAGCCTCAACTAGATTGTTGTGATGTGTTTGTGCTTCAATTAGCAATTGAACCTAGATTTGATTATGTGTTTGTGCTTCAATTAGCAATAAAAAGCCTCAACTAGATTGTTGTGATGTGTTTGTGCTTCAATTAGCAATTGAACCTAAATTTGATTATGTGTTTGTGCTTCAATTAGCAATAAAAAGCCTCAACTAGATTGTTGTGATGTGTTTGTGCTTAAATATGCAGTAATTCAAAGTTGTATATATATATATATATATATATATATATATGTGTATATATATATATATATATGTGATTATTGATTGTGTATATTTATATGATAGTGTATATGTATATGATTGTTGATTTTGTATGTATATGATAGAAAGCATCAAAAAGAGACATAAGTTTTGTTTATTTTATAGAAGTAAAGTTTTTTGTCGTTAAAGTGAAGTTTATTTGATTTATAAAGTTTTTTAGAAAACTTTGAATTAAAACACTCTAATTGAGGTTATTTATAATTGAATAAAAAGTTTCACATTATTGTGATTGAAAATCAAACAAAATTACAAATTTGTCGTGAAAATAAAATTTTTTTCTTGAAATAATGATGTTACTTGTTCAATGTTTATTGTTAGTTGGTTATTAGAGATGGGAGAAAAACAACAATGGACCAATGAGCACTTAAAATGCTTATTGGATACTTGTATTGAAGAAGTAGAGAGTGTTGGTAGAAAAGGATTGAGTTTACAGAAAGATTCATGGATAAGGCTTGGAAGAGTTCTTAAGGAGAAATTTGGGTTTGAGTTGACTCAAAAACAAATGAAACACGCATATGACAATCTGAAAGCCAAATACACTGGATGGGTATATTTAAAAAAAAAACCGGTATATACAATTCTCAAACAAACACTTTTAATTTAACAGCCGAGGAGTGGGATGATTTTAAGAAGGTACATATACATTAATATACAATAATATATATATATATATATATATATATATATATATATATATATATATATATATAACATTTACGTTTGAAGTTGCCAAATATTCTTATACTATTTCTTGTTACATTTGGGTTTAGGGGCATCCGAAAGCTGCTTCTTTGAGAACAATTCCATTGCCTTTTCCAGATCCTTGTGCATGTCTTTTTGATGGAAATAGTGCTACTGGTAATTTTAGGAGTTACTCAACCCAATCATCATCAGTAGCTGGTGCATCCTCCTGTCGTGTTCCACCACTTCAGATCACCGCCACCCCTTTTGATGCAATGGATGATGATGGTGTTGACACTTCTCATCATGAGCCACAACCTTCTGCTGCTTCACCTTCTGCAGCTTCACCTTCTGCTGCTTCACCTTCTGCTGGTTCACCATATACTGGTTCACCATATACTGCTACACCATCCGGTAACCCCAACAAAAGGGCTAAACCCTCAACTCCTGTAGCTCCTAGTGCCTCACCGTCTGCTTCTTCACCTGATGGAACTTCTGTTACTGCTGACGATTTAGCATTTGAAATGAAGAAAGCTCTACAAAGTTTGACTAAAGGGTATACAATTCCTCAGTGTTTAGAGAAGTTAGAGGTCCTTCAGTTAGGCCCTACAGATCCTTTACGCTTTGTCGCATATCATATTTTTGGAGGAACCATGAACATGAGAGAGATGTGGATGCATTTGCCCGATGTTCCCGAGATATTACGAGGGTGGCTTGAGATGACGGGTACCAGTTTTGGAGTTTTGAAGGATGGGAAGATTGTTCGATGATTTTCTAGTGTTGAAAGTATTTGTTAAGTCTTTTTGCCCTTGTTGGAACTACTTTGTTAAATGTTTTTTCCTTTGTTGGAACTATTTTGTTAGGTCTTTTTGCCCTTGTTGGAACTACTTTGTTAAATGTTTTTGCCTTTGTTGGAACTATTTTGTTAGGTCTTTTTGCCCTTGTTGGAACTACTTTGTTAAATGTTTTTGCCTTTGTTGGAACTATTTTGTTAGGTCTTTTTGCCCTTGTTGGTACTTGAAATATGATTAATGGAATGTTTATTTGATACTTGAAATATGGTTTATGTAATGTTATTTTGGCTTGAAATATGATAAATGGAATGTTTATTTGATACTTGAAATATGGTTTATGTAATGTTTTTTAAAGTTCTACTTTGTTGATTTTAGGTTCATATGGATCACGATCAAAAGTTACTTCTCGTAATTCTAATGTACCTATACATCCGTTATTTTTGGAAGAAGGGTGTGAAACGATTGCGGGATAATGATTCGGAAATGACGGGACACGAATACACATTGGAGTTATTACACCGTAATCGTTTACAATGTGTTGAAGTATTACGCATGTCCCGTGAATCTTTTGTACGACTATGTGCTCATTTTAGAGCAAATTACTCATTAAAGGACAGCAAACATGTATCAGTTGAGGAAAAGATGGCTATGTTTTTGATGATGATCGGACATAATCAACGTTACGTGATTATCAAGCGGAGATTTCAACACTCGAAGCAAACAATTCATAAATTTTTTTATGAAGTGTTGGAAAAAATGATGCTTTTCGCACAAGATGTTATAGTACCAACATCTTTTAATCCGAATCCAAACATTCCAGGACATAATAGGAGGCTACGAAGGGTTTTCAAAGGAGCAGTTGGTGCACTTGATGGCACTTTGATACATGCTGTTGTCCCTGCTAAGAAACAAGACTTATATAGAAGTAGGGGAAAGGGAGATTGCTACCAAAACGTATTGGCAATATGTGACTTCAATATGATTTTTACATTTGTTGTGACCGGGTGGGAAGGGGTAGCGCATGACTCTAGAATATTATCAGAAGCAGTAGCCGATCCACAAGCATCATTCCCGTTTCCACCACCAGGTAATTTTTTGTTTTTTTTTTAATATTTTCATTTTAATTTGAAAATTGATTAGTGTTTTCCATTTTTTTCAGACAAATATTATCTTTGTGATGCCGCGTATGCACACACTCGAGGATTTATGGCCCCTTATCGTAATGTGAGGTATTGGCTTGGAGATTTTCGTCAAAGACGTGCATTGACCAATAAAGAAAAATTTAACCATGGACATGCAAAACTTCGAAATCTCATTGAGCGTGCTTTTGGTGTTTTGAAAGCACGCTTCCCTATATTGAAGAGGATGGCACCATTCCCGTTTGTGACACAAAGAAACATTGCCATGGCATGCTTCGCGCTTCATAATTATATAAGGAAAGAAGGATTGAGTGATGAGTATTTCGCACGATACGATAAACCCAATGTCCCGTTTCGAAATAACAATGTGGCCATTGATGATGATGAAGACGAGATTCCAACACATGGTACTGCAGCAGACCGTGAATATATGACTCAGTTACGTGATGAAATTGCTGATCAGTTGATGCACAATATACATTGAATTGTTTTAAATGAAATTGTTATTGTAAAACATTTTTTTTATTGTATGACTAATTTAGTTGCATGAATTTTATTTTCAATGTTATAAGACTATTATTATTAAAATTTTGGTGTTGAAAAATCATTTTAAGTTTGTAAAATAATTTTATTTAAAATTCAGTTTATTTCAGCAGCCTGCAGACGTTAAAAAACAAACAGTCTTCTTATTGCAGACTGCAGACGTTTGGTCCACCTCTTCTGCTGCAGAGGCTTGCAGATGTGGTCCGCAGACTGCAGACATTTTAGCTTCAGAAAAACAAACAGCACCTAACTCACCTCAAAGTAGCTGCTGAACTGATCGGGAACTAACTGACTGCTGCTGCTCCGGGAGTCCTCCGGCTGCAATTCCCACAACATACTCAATCAAACACTGCTAACTGTCCTTTAGGTAAAATGACCATTTTACCCCTGGTCTAGCTCTAAGTCAATGTTAGAGTCAACTTTCAATTGACCCGACTCGCCGAGTTGGCTCTCTAACTCCTCGAGTCCCTATCAGACGATTGTCCGGAGTCCCTGCTTCTACTCGTCGAGTTAGGCTATGACTCGACGAGTTCATCTTCTAGACTGACGTTCAACCTCTTCATCCTAGTCGCCGAGTTGTATGAACAACTCGTCGAGTTCATCTTCATCCGAAGAACACTTATGCTAAGACTCGCCGAGTTGTATGAACAACTCGCCGAGTCTGTTCTTGATCTATGAAGATTGCCTTGGACTCGCCGAGTTAGGGCATTGACTCGCTGAGTCCTAACATGGGTGAGTTCAGCTCCCAACTCACCGAGTCACCCCCTGTGACTCACGGCTCAACTCGATACATCATGAAGGGACCAATTCGGTGACTCGCGACCAGACTCGCCGAGTCACCTATACGACTCGCCGAGTCATCGCCATGCATCCACCAAATACACCGATTTACTCGATTTCAGTCCATGCCATTCATAGATCTGGACTTCTAGGACACAAATCACATGTAAAGTTTCCAACTTTACGTGTGGATACTCACTAATATGGATTTTAGGGTTCAAAATGCCTCAAAAGGGTAGATCTAGGATGAACAAGCCACATGGGACCATAAAGCTAACAGATCTGAGCTCCTGGAGCTCAATATTGCCTAGATCTAAAGGCCAATCCACTTATTACGAAACATTAAGCACAAACAAGCTTGAGGAATTGCTCAAGAGTGTCTTAAATGAAATCTTAAGCATAGAAACAGGGGAAAAACGAGATATACCTCAATGATACAGCTGAAAAACACAATGATGATTGGATGGCTCTCCTTTCTCTTGATCTCCTTCCCCTTCTTGCCTCAAAACCTTCAAGAATCCACACAAGAGCCTCAACTACACAAGAAACAAGCTTAGGACGAGGGTTGGGAGCTCTGGGGTGAATGGGGGCTGGCAAGGGGCAGATATGAGGTTTAAATAGGGAGCAAACCCCTGAAACTTAGGGTTTCATCCAACAGCGGTGACTCGCCGAGTCCAGGATATGGACTCGCCGAGTCGCCAACTTAAACGTGTCCTGTGTCTCGTCCCTACTCGGCGAGTCGGACCTTGTGACTCGCCGAGTCCAAGGCTAAAATAGGGCAATACTCAAATAAAATTCACATACCGGAAACCAGGTGCTACATAAACGCACCAGTAACTTGGTGTTATAAAACTTATTGTTGTGTGTGATTTGGTGAGTGAGTGCAAGGAACCATTGAGTCGAAGTTTATCCGTTCCTTTTACCCAAAGTGGGATAAAAGCGATATTTGTGGTCCCCTTGATGATTTAGTGATGACAAATGTAACTGCTCGGCCGGGCTAGGGCTAATTTGATTTGTTCAATGAGTCAGTCGTCGTAAATCGGAAATCGAGAAACAAAACATAGATTGAGAGAATGATTTCAATACATGTCTCACGTCTATACAATATCTAGAATGGAGGAATATATGATCCCTTATCTAAAGGACAGGTTACTGATAAGATCAGAGTTCGACAGCGTCTTTTAGAGCTACGATTGCTGATCGGGTTGTACTTACTATTATAGTTACTAGACTTATCCAAGTGGGAGACTGTTGGATTAGTGTCTATGCCCGTAACCATATTTGTCAAGTACTTGACCCGATTGTACATGGTCCTTTTGGGTTTGCTTCACCAAAACAACTTGACTGGAGAAATAATAGAGAAAGAGGCTATTATGATTTATTAATATATTATAAGAATAATATATCAAAGGAGAAATCATATTTTTTAATTAATATTGGTCAATAATTAATTAAGAATTAATTTTGTTATCAAATGTAATTAATTAAACTAGAGGGGCTGAATTGTAAATATGTGATAGTTACAAAATAGGGTAATGGTTATCGTTGATATGTGTTGGACGTACGAATTCAAGGGATAAGATATCCTTGAAATCGTCCAAACGATAAAGGATAAGGATTTTCAAGGCTTATCTTATGATTGCTTGGTGGGCAAGCAACTAGATAAGGATAAGGAATAAAACCCAAATCTCTAAACCTATATAAAGACCCCTAAGGCCATAAGAATTTGTCTATGCCTTCCTAAAGGGTTCTTAGGGCCGATTTTATACCTCCTCCCTCTCTCTCTTGTCTCTCCATTTTGCTCTTGGTGTTTGTGAGCCATTAGAGGTACTAAACTTGTGGTACTTGCTTTCAAGACTTAGGGTTTAAAGATTTGAGTTGTTATTGCAATATAACAACAAAAGGTATTCAATCTAATATACTATATGCATTTCAAAAATACTAGGGAATACTAGGGTTCCTTTATCTGTTCATAATCTAATAGTGAAAACATGGATCCAATTCTAGGGTTGCATGCACACATAGGATTGTTTATACATAACCCATCAGAACTTCCTTTTGATGATTCACTCAAATACTCCTCATACTTTTCGTGGATCATTTCTTGAGAAAATTTCGAAGATTGAAATTTCTTTCCATTACCTTCCAACCAATGATTGAGATTCTTCACATTTATTTTTCCTTTAACAAATGAAGATTTTTCCGATTGTTTCGAGAGTGGATTTGGAAAAGGAATTTGATTAGGCTTATAAGATTCGAATTTTTGTTCATGAACATGTAAATTCTCAAAGTGTCTTGTTGGTTTTTGTGTTGAAACATGAGGAGTATATCGATTTTGAAAACGATTTTGATAACCAACGTTATTTCTTTGAAAACCCTTTTGAGAGTTCAAGAATTGATTTTGAAGTGAAACCTGATGATAATTCTTTTGTTCATTTGAATTAAAATCATTTTGTTGAAAATTATTTGGTGAAAACCTTTGATTGGATGAATTCTTTTGAAAACTCTTTATGTGGTTATTTTTCACATAATTCTCATGATAAGAAGTTTAAGTATTAGAATTTGGGGTTGATTTTGAAATGTGCTCCTTGTTTATAAAATACACTACTAGAAAAAAGGCCTTTTACAACGCTCATTGCGCGTCGTAAAACGCTCAGACGACGCGCAAATGCGTGTCAAGGAAGGCCCTGTCATAAAGAGAGATGACGCGCTTTTGCGCGTCGTCTGTAGACGACGCGCATTTATGATGCGCATTTACGACGCGCGGTTATGACACGCATTGCGTATCAAGGAAGGCCCTGTCATAAAGGAAGACGACACGCATTTGCGTGTCGTAACCTTACGACGCGCGTGTTTATGACACACAATGCGTATCAAGGAAGCACCAGTCAAGAAAGGCCATGTCATAAATGAAGACGACACACATTTTTGCGTATCGTAATTTTAATTTTTTTAAAAAAAAATATATATTTATATATTTATCAATTTATAAATTAAATTTGCATTTAATCTCTCATAATAGAAATAAAATACCATATACAAAAAATATAATCCATTGCATAATATAAAATAAAATACCATATACAAAAAATACAATCCATTGCATTTAATTTGTATGTATAACAAAGGCACATGTGTTAAACTTGTTACCATTAACATTTAATCGCATGGACTCGAGTGTTAAACTTGTTACCATTAATATCTGATTCATAAGTCCTTTCAACAAGATTGTTACCTGCATAAATGAAAACAAACAGGAACAATAACAGCCCAGCTATGAACAATATTGTTACGTGCATAAGTTACTAAGAGACTTATATACTGAGCTGGTTTGTAATATGGTACTAAGAAGCCCAAGAATTGTTTGTGTTTTTCCTGCTCCTGGTGGATCCTACATAGACAAAAGGTAAGAATTAACATTTTCAAGGTAAATATAAGAAAAGGGCATTATAGTAATTACCTCCATGCAATACTCAATGTTCTTCTGGATAAGATGATTTAGAATCTCTGGTACATATCATAAGGATCCCAAAATCATATAGTTGGTTATTGTTTGATTTGTTATTTAAACATTATACCCTTTCCAAAGAAGATTTGGGAGTATGTTTCTATTCTAGATTAAATAAACCATCTAATTAATGAAATGAAATGATCATTTTACCCTTTCCAAAGAATAGTTGGGAGGAAAGAAAAAAAGAAGGGAAAACAAGCATAGAATTAGTGTTTTAATACATTAAGCCTGAATTTTTTTTGGCTTAACCCATCAAATCATTTTGTGTAGAATAAATCAAGATTAAGTTCTTAACCCATTAAGCCCATTAATTAAAAAAAAACAACCCCTTAATCTAATATATATATATATATATATATATATATATATATATAGTATGTAAATGGATGTTTCTTTTTCATTTCTTGTATCTAATAATATATTAATATATACCTATGTATTAATAATTTGGATATAATGAACAATTTAGAATTAAATTCGATTTTGAGCAAGAAAATGACCTTCCTTGGGGACGTGTAGTTTTTTCACTATTGTCCTTTGGTAAGCCTGTTTCTTCATCATCATCATCTGAGATAAGAAAACAAGGATCATGAGTTAACAAATACTAAAGCTTCATCACGATTACAAATTAGTTACTTAAGCATATATACGTTCATCATGTTTTGTTTGTGTTGCTTGCTGTCAAAATATACATGAAATTTTGTTTAATAAGATAATTTATGTTAATAAACTTAAAAAAAGAGAGAGAACAGGCTCAGGTGAAGAAAATTGAAGAACTTACCACTTTCAACTTTTTGAGAATATTATCAACCTGTGTAGTATCAAATCCCCATTCGTTTGGCTTATCTAAACCAACACCTGTTTTGCATTCAAGTTAGTGGCAAAAAAAACAAAAAAACTTCATTTATACTTTCATACTGTGAGAGTGTGAGGCAAAATCACAAAGCGGAGACTGAAAAAAATGCTAGCCAGCATGTCTAA